AGAAGAAACATTTAACAGGTAGCTAGAGCCAATGCTTTTGAACCCCAAGCTGAATGGCTTTGACATTGTAATGTTACAGGTTATTACAGGGCAACAGACAGGGCCCAGAGGAAAGCAACCAAATTTTTGGGTTCCATTTTGGCCACTCACCAGACTGGATGATGTCAAGCTAACTTGCTACCGTGGTGTTCTGTATCTTTTGAAAAAAAAAATAAGTGATCTTGATGTCTATAATGTCTGGCCAGGCTCTAGGATTATATGTTCCTTTGAGCTATACAGAGGCCAGAATTGTAAAGTTCATCTTAAGGACAAGTATATCATTTCTTAGCGAGTGTGTGGGAGAAACTATTTTATTTAATATGTGTGTTAGTAATAAAATACTTGATTTAGTCACCTCTGGAAAGATAAGCTAAAATTATAGCCAGTTTGACACTTTGTAATCACCGTAAAAGTGAGTACACATTTGAATTTAAATCAGGACTGGACATGCCTTTATCCTGAAATGAAGAGGCTTCATCTGAGTGTTGTTTTCTGTGACGTGATGCGGAATGTAGTATCAGGCAGTGTGAGTATTTTGCCGTTATATGCAAAGACTAATTTTCTGAAGGTTGGGTCCTGGGGTGGATGATGTTCATAAATAGTTAGATTTTCTCCTTTCTGACTTTGTTACTCACCTAAGTTTAAACCATGAAGTGAATTTAAGACCTACTGCTTTGAGCTTTAATTACCTTCTCGGTTGCACTAGTTTAAGGCATTTAGAGGGTGTGCATCTAGTAGATAAAGCAGTGTTTCTTTCAAGGAGGGTCTCAGATTTCAGAATAAGAGATTTCCACACCTGCATGTTGAAGCATGAGAGCTGTTCGATACAAACCTTACCTACATGAGAAAAATCCCACGATTAGATCTGTTCAGTTGCTGTCTCGCAACTTTTCTTTGCTGAGAAAATGAACAAGTTTGTGATAATTTTTACTAAAACTGAGATTGGTGCACTTAATGGTCTTTTATGCATAGAATTAACATTTCTCTTCCTATTTATGACAAACACCATATGCATTTGGGCTGAATCGTTTTCACAAAATACTAGTTTTCATCATCCGCAAGTATGTAGGACCTAGATCACCATTGCTTTCCTCCACTTTCATCCTTGAAGTGGTATATTTCCTCTTAGGGGTCTTATAGAAAGGAAACTGGTGTCACCAGGTCACCGTGGAGTTTTGGACATAGAGTCAGAGGTTTGGGTAGAAGTGGCACCAGCTGACACTGGAACTGCAGGTGAGGCCACATGGTAAAAGAACTTTCAAGACTAAGGCATTTTTATTTTATCCTGTAGAGATAGGGAGCCGAGACAGGGGTTCCAGCAGGAGGGGATGTGGTCATGTTTAGGAATGGTCCCTCGGCAGAGAATGGATTCAAGGACAAAGGCTTGAGCAAGTGACTAAGCAGGGAGTTCTGAGTAATGGTCCAGGCCCAAGATTCTGAAGTTGCTGCAGTTCGGGGGGCTAGAACAGGAGGGATGGAGTTAGGAGACAAATATGTCCCTTGCTTTTCTCCTAAGCACAGTGGGGATACAAACTGAGCCAGAAGTCATCCTCCTCTGGGAAGAACTGCCTTGTCTTAGTGCTTCTGTTTCCATGGCTGAACGTGGCACATCTCGGTCTGCAGCCCGCCCCCCTCACTGTACCTAGTTGCTTTCCACAACTTCCCTTTGCTCTCCTGTGTGCACATCTTCCATCAGCCCAGGGGGAAAGGTCTGAGAGACCAGCTTTGTTTTTCTTCCAGCTTATACTCCAAGCCCTATTAGCCAACAGTGCTGACACTGCCCCACAGAAATGGTCAGTCCCAGATTAAACAGCCTAGTCAAGAAATCCTCCGGGCAGGCAGCTTCTCTGCACTCGGGGACATGCCTCTGTGCCTTTTCCTGGTGACTGTACTCAGGCAGTTCTATCTCATCCAGCAAGAGGGTGTTCAGAGTTGCCCCGAGGTGTGCTGCTTCGGGACGCAGGCAGCTGGCTAGGTATAAAAGCATCCATCTTACCCCTTTTGATGGCTTTCGAGAGATGCGCATCTTGTCTCAAGGAAATGCTGGTGCATAATTCACCTCCTTCTCCAGGCACATTAACGGCAAAAATCCTTTCAGCTCAGTGTGAGTCTTCGTAAAAAGAAATGTGTCGTGTTTGGAAAGGTATTTTTTGTTTAAAGGAAAGACACTGGAGGTATTCTTTAAGCATTATCTGCTACAAAGTGAAAAGGGCCTACTTATTATTACATTGGACTCTCTGGAGGGATTTTGGGAATTCCTCCTACGCAGTTGGTGCCCCTGACACCCGAGCGGGAGATGACTGTGAGTTGGGTGTGGAATTATTTGCGCCCCACTGGGGTTAGCTGCATTTAAGCACATTAATGGACTCCCAGACCACCCGGGAGTCCTGCAAGTAGCCAAGGGCAAGTCAGTTTCTCTAGACACGCCCTGACCTCCGCCCCAGCTCTTGTAGTAATTCATGCCTGACAGCTCTTCAGAAGGAGCCCGTGGTCCTGGGGAAGTCCATTGCTTATCAGGCTACTCCGTGTGCTTGAACTGGGAGAACTGGGAGGTGGCCAGGATCTCTGGGAGATGTTTCTGCCCATCTGCCTGTTAGTCTGACAGATGTGTCAGCCTGGACAACTGGGTCACCTAATGAACAGAAATTTAATTTATACACGGGGATTAAATATTTTAGTGATATCCATACCACCTCAAACTTCTTTGACAGAGTCAAGAGGAAAACAAAAGTTATTCAATGAATTGCTAACATGTAAACGGACTTGCACTTACTTTTCCAACTCTTAGGTTACTTAATTGGATACAGTACAACGTGTATGGGGCAGATGATCACCCAGGCTGGGACGTGAGGGATTTTAATGATAAGAATCGTGGTGGGTCTTGCGACATGCGTTAACTCAGGGACCTGTGACAAAGGCTAATTTGTTTTAGGTAATCTCCATGGACAAATATTTATTAAGTACCCATGCACTTTGAGAGGGGCAGGGAGCATACACAGGCCATTGAAGACCTGCCTTCAGCGAGTTGTACTGAGCTGAGGGACAAGAGAAATACATCTGTGACCATTAAAAGTAACAGTGACAGTTTATGTTTTAAATTGTCCACATGCTACAAAATCCAAAACAGTAGTTTACAACTAGGGAGCATAGGAGGACTGGAGAAGTCAGAGGTTGTTTTGGAATAGACAGGATTTTAGAAAGAACGAGAAGGCCCTCCAGATGAGTTGCACAGGACAAAGGTGAGTTCCAGCAGGACCGAGGATTGCTGTCAGGTGGGAGCCCATGCAGCCCCAAGGGCATACACTGAGCGCCTCCTATCTGCCAGGCACCGTGACTGCGGAGAGTGGGGCAGGTTAATGATGAACTGAGGCACAGTCTCTGCCCTCCAAGAAGCTGTGAGTGTAACAGGGGTCATTTAAGTTGATAGTAGAGCTACGGAATGCAGGGCTCTTGATGCGGTTCACAAGCTTCGGGAATTACGGCCTGGAATGGTGATAGCCTTGGAAACGGTCTAATGCAGGCTGGCCTCAGATCGCCGAGTTAAGCTCTGACCATTCTAGCAGAAAAATTCCAGCACACTCTTGGCTCGGGGTGGTCATTCAATGCCTGCAGGCCAGCCCACTGGAAAACCAATCCCTAAGGTTTCAGTTCTCAGAATGCGCCGGGGTGGTGGCTCAAATAAAATGGGTTCCCATACTTTCCTGTCAGCTGGCCCTGAAGCCTGGTGGGAAATACAGGCTCAGGTTTAAAATACTTCAGCATCTGTAGCCAGCAGCTGAAACTTGAGAGAATAAAGTGGTAGTGTTGTGGAGGGCCGGACCCGTCTGTCCTCCCAGGACGGCTCCAGTCACAGAACAGCAAGTTTTATTTTAAGAGGAAATCTAATGAAAGCCAATGTAGTAAGGGAAACATTTTTTATAATTCCCATTAGGAACAAACATTCAATTTGAATTTTAAAAATAGGACGATAATGGCATTACCTGTTTCCCAACACAAATATTGTCTAGAAGCCATGAGTCGACTGTATTTGTTTCTGGGCTTTTATGAGCTAGTGGTGGTAAAATAACCAATTTGCTAAAACCATTTGAAAGAATATACGCCTACTCTGCCTTCAGTTCATGCATGGTACCTTTTTGGCAGGATTAGGTTGGATTTTAATATTAACACTCTTACTGAAGAGCTAAGAAGCTGTGGAACTGGTCCTCTTAGGGAGGGATCCCTCTCCGTATTCACCCTGTGGTTTGCTGTTACCAAGTGCCAGTGATATAAAAAGAATGTACTTGTGTGGGTTTATTTACGTTTGTCATTAAGGCTCTGCCAAGCCAATGAGCCCTGGAAGCGGGCTCGCAGTGGGCTTTCGCCCTTGTCATTGAGCCTCACCGGCGCTGCTCCTTGCAGGGTGCCCTGCGTGGCATCTCCCCACATCTGGGCTGTGGCAGAAAGCTCTGGACTACCCAGGCGACCAGGGAGCTCTTGGCCCTGAGCATGGCCGAGCCTGGAAACACTTCGTGGCCTTGATTTAGCTTAAGTACCACCCTACCTTTGTATATATCCCCAAGAACTTCTTATGTGATTTCAGTGTTTTGCAGCTTTCCAGTAAGGGAGCTTAGGAGTGACTCTGTGACAAAGTGAATGCCTGAGATGGCTTAAAACTGGCACTGGGACCACTGAAACTCAGTTTTAGTGGAATGTAACAAAATATACACTTGATGGGTGCTGAGGTCTCTGTGCCGTCTTCATTCTGTTGGTCTAGGCCATGTGGCTTCCCTGGGGGACATTTGTCCATGCTCAGCCCTTCATGCATGTTGTCCCCTGACACAGGGGTCCTGGGGAAGGGCAGGGCCAGAAATAGAGGAATGGAGGAAAGGGCAGGCTGCTCACTGCAGCGTGAACCGGAAGAGTAAGATAAGAGCATTTGTTCATTTCTCCCTATCCTGAATCTCTTCTCCTTCCTTCCTCAGAGGGCAGAGCTGACGTCTGATAAAGACATGTACCTCGACAACAGCTCCATTGAAGATGCTTCAGGAGTGTATCCTATTGATGACGATGACTACGCTTCTGCATCGGGCTCGGGTAAGGCCATTCTCTGTGCTTGCACATGCGTGGAGACACACACAGGCACAGTGTCCTGGAGCTCACTTCAGGGAGACAGGCAGGTGCACAGTGGTTGAGAGCATGCTCTTTGGAGTCCAGGTGCCTGAGTGTGAATTTTAGCTCGCCATCACCTCAGCTGTGAGATCGGGGGAGAGTATTTAACTTGGCTGAACCTCAGTTTCCTCATTTATAGAACGGAAGGCCACTTCTACATAGGCTTGTTGTGAAGATTAAAGGGGTTGATGCATCTGTGGCTCTTAGAGCTTGCTGCTTGGCATGTAGTCAATGCTAGCTTTTCATTTTTTTTGTTAAGGCTTTCATAGTGTTATCATGAAAACCACCCTTAAATAAATCCCTCAAACACTAGTTTTATAAAACTGCCAACCCCATATAGAAGATTATGGATGAAACCAAGGAGCAGTATACTTTCTTACTCCTAGTGTATTGCTCAAAAGTAGGAGGTAGAATGTTGCAGCCAGGTAAAAATGATGGCAGAGGGATAGCCTCATCTCCTTGGTGTATCAACTATCTGTTGCTTCAGTAATGCTGCATAACAAACCATCTCAAAATGTAGAGGCTAAAGTCAACAATCATTTTATTCAGCTCATCATTCTATGGGTCAGTGGTTTAGGCTGGGCTGAATGGGCTCCCACACGTGTCAGTGGTCAGCTGAGGGCTGGGTATGAAGCTTTGCTCACCTTGGCTGGACTCTGACATATCTCTGGAGCAGCTGGGCAGACTTGGCTGTGGTCTGCATGGTGTCTCATCCTCTAGCAGGCCAGCCATTTGTTCCCAGGCTGGAGGCAGAGACCCCAAAGGAGAAGAAGGGCGCAAAGCCCCTTAGAGCCTGGGCTTAGAACTGGCACAGCATCACCACCCCATTGTATCTGTCAAAGCAAGTCACAGGGCTTGCTTTCCTTTCATTACTGCACCTTGTAATGAAGGAGCTACCAAGTCACGTGGCAGAGGATGTGGAGACAAGGGGGAATAAATGATCCTGGCCATTTTTGCAGTCTACCATACCCAGTAAATGTTTCACCCATGCCAGGAATGGCCCCTAAGAAGCTGAGAAAGAGTTTGTGCATATATTTAAGTAACAATCAAGTCAGGAATTTGTGGCCAGCAGCATGCTAGGGAAGTGTTATACAGGACCTTTCTTGCTCTAAGTTTTCATTGTAAATTCAACAGATAGTAAAAGTTATGCCAGACATAGATGTCTGACGGTCAGGTTGGCCTGGGTTTCAGAATGACCCAACACAAATTAAAATCAACTGTATCTCTGGTAGAGATCTAACTGTGTAAGAGTGAGTGCTTTAAGTTAGGAAATGCCAAGTCTGAGTAAGACATGAGAGGTGGTGGCTGACCCAGTAACAATGAGTTTACAGTGCAATCCTAATGTAAAAATAGCCCCAGTTATTCTTGGGAGAGTGATATATATTGCACACACAGATTGAATGTGAAAAGAGTGTTTCTCCATAGCCCACAACTCTATTAATATATTCCACTCATGGCACCTCCTTTTTTTTTCACTTAACACCTCAAAAGTACTTTGTAACTGTCGTCTTCAAAATGTCCCAGGAAATAATAAATATGGGAACTTTTCTGTCCCTGTTTCACAGATCCTAGAATCTAAGAGTTGTTAGAGATCTGTAGCTGTTGTCCATGTCATTTGGCCAGTTTTTGCCAAGATTGTCCTTAAGCTTCATATAAGAAAGCAGATACACAGTTCTGCTCCAGTGCTAACCCTGCCTCTATCCATTGGAGTGAGAGGGGTTTTGAGTGGGTCAATTGAAATCCCAAACCCTCTAACCAGATAGATGGAGTTGAGGCTTCAGCATGGGCTGGTGTTGCTTCCGCCTTGACCCCCAGCCTGGGGCAGATGATGGCTGCAAAGCAGTTCATCATTCAGACTCTGGAAAGCCTTCTGCACTGCTCAAAGGGTTATTTCTCAGCTGAAAAATAGTAGAAGTTGTAGGTAAAATTTGCACATAATATACTGTGGTCAGACACTGTTCCTACCCTTCTAACATCACTGTCAGGACACTTCTGTTACTGTCTCCACTTTTCCCGGGAGAAAACCTGAGGCACAGAGAGATTAAGTCACTTGCCTCAGGGCACACTGTTACAACATAATGGAGTGGAGACACGGACCAGGGAGTTGGGCTTGAGCGTGTGTTCTCTTTCCCTCCTTTGCTGGGCTGCCTCCTTGCGTCACAGAAGCCCACTCCAGACCAGGACACCCTGCTAGCTGATGGCCAGCCCCAGCTGGACACTGGGGTATACTGTGGTTTTGGCCAGTGTTATCTCTGTTTTCACTCCTATCAGGCTATTCTGTGGGAAAGTAAATGGACAAGAGGAAAGTGGCCCAAGGCCCAGAGGGTACTTTCCAGGGGCAGACTTAAGATGGGCATTAAGACTTCCTCCATGCATTTACCATTTCCTGGACAACTGCTATGTGCCAGACACTTTACCATGTCCCTGGGACACAGGGATGAGAAAGACTTGGTTGCTGCCCTCAAGGAACCAAGAGCCTGATGGAAGAAATGTAGAAAAGAAAAAAATAATTGTAACACCATGTCGTGAGTGACATAACCTAGCGAAGTGCTGTGCATCAAACATGTAAGGGTTAAAGCTAGAGCTCTGGTTAAAGATGGCAGATTGAACACACATGTACCTTTCAATACTCAACTGTAGTGACATGAAGGAATTGGGCCTAAATTCACATGGCCAAACAAAACAGTAGACGGGACAAAAGCCAGCATTCTGAAAGCTGGGAATCAGAGGTGCTGGAAGTGATGGACTTGGCAGAGAGGAGAAAGCTTAGTCAGCCAGCAGTGGGGGTGGGGCAGGGCGCCAAGAAGCAACCCACTGAACACAGCAGATCCCCTTGGGGCCCGGGAATGGGTGGCACTAGATGGGGGTGGAAGTGGTACGAAACACAGGATAACTGATTGAAATTCTGTTTAAGAGTCAAGCATTCCAAGGAGAACTGTGACGAGTGTGAATTGTAGAGTAGTAATCAAAAGCAGAGACTCCAGAGCCAGAGTGCCTGGATGAACATCCCAGTTCTTCTGTACACCAGCTGTGTCCTTGGTAACTTGTCCGACACGTAAACGACCTGTGCCTCAGCTTCCTCACATGTGAAGTGTGGGGAACAGTAGTACCCACCGCACTGGGCTACATAGTTAATGCATGTAAAGTGTTTAGACCAATGCCTAGCACTTACTAAATACTAAATAAATGTTGACAGTTTTTAAAAAAGCAGCAGCAGCAAGCAGATGCCCTGATTCCTTCCCACCATAACTCAGCAAAGAGACTCATGCTCCCAACCTCAGAGGAAAACTGGAGCTTTATTATCAGAAGAGGATAGAACAGAGGGTCTTTGGACTGGGAGTGTACCAGGCACAGATGGGGCTGGGGTACGATACCGGAAACAGAGAGAGCAAGGCCCTAGGCTAGGGGTTATTAAATGCTGAGCTACTCCCAGTTGTCTCCCCCCATCAGTTGTGGAACACTGACAGTCTGGCCTTTACGCTCTTTGGGGAATTGGATCAACTCAAAGGACACAGCTCCATGATGCAATACTTGCGTTGGGAGTCCCCCGACAAAATGCACAGGTCTGTCTGGACTCACGATGCCCACAATCTGACGGACCTCTCCTGCGTGCCCAGAACTTCTGGTCAGCGTTTCAGTGTTTCCCTCTTAGATGCGAAAAGACAAACAAGGCTCCCTGGACATTTATGGGAAAATGTGTAATATGAAAGATAGGGACCTCCCCACACTCCAAAATTGGGATAGGACAGAAACTTACAATGAGAAGAGAACTTACAGGAACTTAACAATGTGTTACATTTGGAGAGATAGGAAGATGCTTTAATGGTGAAAGAAGAAGAGGAATAAAGGAGCATTCTAAGAGCTGGAAAGAGTCCTTGGAGAGTGGAAATATCATGTCAGAAATGAAAAGCTCATTAGAAGATGAGAAGATACAGAGGATATTTATTCATGTATTTATTCAACAAGTATTTGTCAGTCGCCCAGCACACAGGAGAACAGATACCATCCTAGGGACACGTCAATAAATAACATGTAGCAATGCTTCGCTGATGGTGGAATAATTTTATTTATTCCTTTCTGTACTTCCCTGTTTCCAGCTTTCATCAGTGAAAATGTATTCTTTTTTAAAAAATATGTGCCCTTTTTTTAAGTAGAAATTAAAAAAAATTTAAGAAGAGACTCAGTAACAGTGAGAACTTGGAGAAACAGTTTCACAATGGAGTGGGGGGTGTGGAGGTGGTGATGTTGCTTCTGGGCAGGATAGCGTAAGCAGGACTCTCCCAGGTGGGGACATCTGGGCTGTGGGTAGGAGCATCTGGCCTCTGGGTAGGATGTCTCAGGCAGAGAGAACAGTGAGAGCTGAGGGTCAGGGTTGAGGGAGAAGTGGTCAAGGAGGCTGCCAGGTTTCTGGTTTTGGCAAGAGGGTGACTGTTTCTGATAAAGATGATAAAGCCTGTGGAAGAGCTGCCTCGGGCAGATCAGACATCTGTCTCTAACTTCATAAATGCTAGCCTGAGGGAATGTTCTACTTTACAAAACCACTTCTCCCTCACACAGACTCCCCGCACTCCTACTTTGGTGATTCATAGTCGTAGCTATTGTGAACCAAGGGGGTCTTGAAAGCCCTTAGAATTTTTTACTTCTCCTTGAAAAAATTTTTGTAAGAAAATGATTCATTGTAGGAGGAGCAGATCAAACACATTGTATGTAAAACCTTGATGGAAAACCAAGTAAGCTAATATAAAAGAGCAATGCATTTCTGGAGCCCTCATTACTAATAACATATTATATACCATTGTATGTGTACAAAATGCTCTCAGCTATCTATCACATTTGAACCTCTGGGAATTAGTTATGGCTTTTTCCCGATTACAGATGAAGAAACTAATTAATAGCCAAGTATTAATTGCCCAAGGTCATAGAGCTAATAAATGCCAGGACCAGTACTAAGTTTGTTGATGTGTTTGTTTCGTGCTGAATCCCACATTCATTCCAATACTTCCTGCCATTTCTTCTCTATCTAGTGGGTATACATGCTGAAAGTAAAGAAAACAGTTGAGATAGTAAAATATTTAAAAAGTGAACCATAGTCATAGCCCTTGTACCGTTCCCAGCACCTGACCTCTGAATTTCTCAACTTCCTGTTATATTAACCTGCCTCTGTGAGGAATTTGAGGTATTCATCATTTGTTTCTGTCTAAGGAAGTGGGTTGGTTGGATTACAGAATTTGAGTTTGAGATTTTACAAATTTGACAAGTGGTGGACTTAAAAGGAATGTTGTACTTCCATGAATGTCAGAAATGCTCAAATGTAAAATATTTAAAAAAAGAAAGAAAAGTAAAAACTAGTGCTGATGACAGTTGGCGGTTCGTGCTGAATCTTAAGGAAGGAAGACTTGACCTTTTGTGTCCAGGTGGGAAGAACGAACCTGCCACGGAGACAGATAGCCGAGAGGGGAGGGGGAAGCTGGGAAGTCAAAGCCACAGAGGCCCGGAGATCATGTACCAAGAAGGATATGGTAGCCAGCAAGTGACCAGGGGAGCTAGGAGGTTCGATTAGATGAGAACCACTCTAGAAAATGTCATTGGATCTAGAAACATGGAGGACACTGGTGACCTTAACAAAGTCAAACCAACAGTGTGATGACAGGGGCACTCTGACTAGAGAGAATGGAGCAGATGGTGAGGAAGTGAACCAGGAGGAGCTACAGCGCCCCTGGAGAAACCTGGCCATACAGAGGGGACCAAGGGCAGCCCCCTCAGATAAGGGATCACTGTGGGGCTGTTCTCCTTTTCCAGTTATTGTTTTGTTATGTTTTGAAACAGAAAAAGTAGCATGTAGAAGGGAAGAGATCTCACAGAGCAGGAAAGGTTGAACATTGCAAATGAAAGAAGGGTTACTTGAGAATGTTCATGGGAATAGTATTTTTTGAAACTGCCAGGCTACCCACAGATCCACTTTTAAATCGCTTGTTCATCACAGTGAAAACCGCTAAATTCTTTTTAAGGGAAAAATTCTCCACTGTAAAGGTTATATTTATTTATTTTTAGAGAGAGGGGGACAGAGGGAGGAAGAGGGAGAGAAACATGGATGTGTGCGATAAACATGGATTGGTTGCCTCTCTCATGTTCCCAACCAAGGGCCTGGCTGGCAACCCTGGCATGTGCCCTGACCCGGAATTTGGTCCTCAGAGTGACACACACCCACTGAGCCACACCAGTCAGGGCAAAGACTGCCAAATTCTTGATGGGCACGTATTTTGAAAGAACATAGCTCTGTCAGTGTCAACAATAGACAGCATTGTCTGTTTGTGTGGAAATCTGCATCTTGATTCATGTGCTCAGCTCATCTTTGCCGCCTTCTCCAGGAGCTGATGAGGACATGGAGAATCCTGAGCTGACCACGTCTCGGCCACTTCCAAAGATCTCGTTCACTAGTGCTGCTCCAAAAGTGGAAACCACCACGCTGAAGGTGCAGAACAAGATACCTGCTCAGACGAAGGTGCGTTATGTCTTGCATTGCATTATCAGGTCACTGTAAATTTAACTATATGGAATAGTCCTTTTTAAGAGGCCCCGTTTAAAGATATGTAAGGACAAATGGTATTTCTATTACATGATTGTAAATGGCTTTTACTTACTCTTTATGATTGTTTTGACTCTTACTCACTGACTGCTCCTTTTGTGGGTTAAGTAGACTTTGTTTTGAGAGCAAGTTTAGGTTACAGCAAAATTGAGTGCAAAGTACAGAGAGTTTCTTTCACCACTTGGCCCCATGTATGGACGGCCTTCCCCAGCATGTACATTTGTTATAATCAAGGAACCTACATCCACCTGTCATTACCTTCCGAAGCCCATAGTTTACATTCTTTGGGTTGTCATTCTTTGGATTGTCATTCTTTGGGTTGTCATTCTTTGGGTTCTGACAAATGTATAATGACATGTGTCCACCGGTACAGGATCATACAGAACCATTGTGTTGTCCTAAAAGTCCTTTGTGCTCTGCCTGTTCTCCTCCACTAAAATCTGGCAACTGCTGATCTTTTCACTGTCTCCATAGTTGTGCCTCTTCCTGAACATCATATAGCTGGAATCATATAGTATGCGGCCCTCTCAGATGGGCTTCCTTCACTTAGTAACAGGCATTTAAGGTTCCCCCATGTCTTTTCATGGCTTGATAGCTTATTCTCTGTACTTTTATTACTGAGGCCCAGCTTAGATAAAGGGTGGTCCTTTTTAAGGAACTCATAGCCAAATCAAGAAACAAAACCCTTTTGGTTTTTTATTTGGCTCAAGACAAGAAAATTTATTTTTGTTTCATAAAGAATCCGTTCCGACTTAAAACCAGTGTGGACTTTACCTGTGTTGAAACAGGTCATGGAATAAGGAGACTCCAGATACTAGTTGCAATAAGTTTTTTCTCAAAGTCTCCACCAGCCCATCATCAGTAGTATGGAAGCTTTGATCTCTTTCAGTGATATTGATGAATCCAAGTGCATCTCTATGTAGTATTCATTTTGAGAGCTGACTTATTAAGAAATAAGAACAGAGCAAAGGTACTAGCTAATGAAAACTATAAGACTTGTGATTTTGGCTTTATTAACGTTACATTGCAATTAGCTGGCCCCCCACGACTAGGTGAGCTTTTTAAGTTGAAAAATGCATATTAAAGTTTGAAGAAGGCCCATGTTTCAAATCCTGGATCTGGTCAAATCTCTGAGCTTCTCTGAGCCTGTTTCTCATGGGTCATTGAGGAGATTAAAGGTGAGGGCAGGCTGCATGGCCTCTGAGACCTGGTAAACATTCCGTAAGCCTTGACTGAACTTGGTTAGAGCGGCTGAGACCGAGCCAATTCACCAAATAAACATGTGTAATGACTGCAATAGTAGACTTTGTGCACAGTCCAGGGCAGCATGCTCCTTGTGAAAACTAAGCAACACGGTGGCCCCTTTTGGAGCTCACCCACCTGTTGGTGCCCAGCTTTAGCAGCAGATAGGATGTGGAAGGCTGTGCCATCCAAGTAGTGATAGGCCTTCTCTGGAGTAAGAGGTGCCCCTCTGCTGGCAGGAACACAGGTGGGCTTCCTGCCCTTTCATTTCTTACCCTTAGCAGAGAGCCTTTGTCTGTCCCCTCTCTTTCCCCTCCCCCATCCTCTGTCCTCTATCTTCCCGGTGACTATGAAGAGGATGGTGACTAACACAGCTGGAAGGCTGTGTGTCCAGACTGAGTGCTCACTGTGGGATTAAGAGGGCTCAGTAGCTGATCAGCTTCACAGGTCAGGTGATAGGAAAGACAGGAGCAGCTCTGTGAACACTGAGGCAGCCACACCTAGCATGGTGCGTGCATGGTGGCTGCTCCATAAATGTATTAAATTGAATGAATGAAGAAAAAAGAAGGGACAGGGTGAGAAATGCAAAGTAACAGGTGCAGTTGATGGCAGGATGGCTGACCACCTCACAGCGGGTGGGGCGCAGTTTTCCAGTGTGGATGTTGAACATGCATTTGGCTTTACTGCGTTTTTATGTGGGCCACTTGCCGTGAGTAAATCTGTAGAAGTCAGTGATCGTTTAGACTCACTAACTTGAGGTAAGAAACTCAGTTTTGGTGTTCAATGATAAAAAGTAGTATCTTAACCCAAATCTAATTTGACTTAGAGTTCTGCTCCATTGACAGCAATGGATTAACCATTGATTTAAATTTTTAAAAATTGGCTTTAAGGAAGTAATTATGTCAGATCGATATAAAGAAGATAGGTATTTGGCAGATGAGCTCAGAGATTAAGGATGTCTAAACATCTTAATATATTTGTATTCCTAGTATCATTTGTGTTCAATATAATAATAATCAATTTTATTCATTTATGGGGGATTTATTGAGGGCTACTCATTATGTGTCAAGTACCATTCTAGGTACTGATAATTGATAATATTGACAATGAAAAAATATTAGTAATACTGATTACATTTTAATTTTGTAGTTACATGGCACAGCTAAATTAAACATTGCCTTCAGGATACTACTAGTGTAGAGTTTGCTTTTGAATGGGTCTCACAGTGGCATTAATGTCACCATTATAGATATTCTTCCTAGTTTGTTGTAAATTTATGTGACAAAAATAAAAAGAACACAGTTAATTGTTTGAGCAGAACATTGCTCTTAATCTTTTCCTTCTATTACATTTCCATGGCATTTAAACAAGGAGACATGGATGTGACAGGTCTTTAATTGGCTTCATTTAATCATCTGTGCTGCCTTTGGTACTTTCATTTTGCACATATACGCACGAGTTAAGGTATTTCCGATTAATTCTATACCATAAAGAAAAATCTTCTTAGTGAAGCCCCTGCTTCCATACCATAAAACCTTCCATTTAAAGAATACGTGTCCTCTCCAGAGCACCTGGAAACTCTGCTCTGATGGACCATTCCTCTCAGTTCATGGTGCCCCAATTCTGTGTAGCCCTCCTGCCCCCCCCCCCGCCACCCACTTGCACCTCTGAGATGCATGCTGCTTCCTGGCTGCTGGATTGGAAGCTGAGTCAGAGGAATTGAAGTGTTAGCTCTCTCAAATGATTCTAGGGACTCAAAAAACCTGAGGGGACATCATGTCATTTTTCTTGACAATGGGACAGAGAAGATGTGAATAAGCTAAACTCAGTCTCTGACATCACAGTAGCTGCTTATGTCTACTTCCTGTGCTACCAGAACTTTCTTACCTCCTTCCCTTCCCTCGTCACACACCTGATATCCACCCATCGGAGTTTACCCTCTCCTTTCCTAATCTCTAGGAGCAGTGCTAATGAGCAGTGAAAATGTTCCTAGGTTAAAGCCCAGGCAATCCATTCTCTTATCTGTTGAGTTGTCAGTCCTTCTGACAGGCAGTGGGTTCCTGATGGGATTTCACAAGAAGAAAGGAGAAAACTCAAGCAGTGTACTGCCTGGGAGCTTCCCTCTTCTGCTTTATTTTTGTACATGAAGGCTGGGGAGGACCTTTTCATGTTTTCGTCTCCCACAATGATGTGAGAGAACAGTGAGATTTGTGATGCATTTTGTGCAGCTATGAATGATAATTTACCCACAGCCTCTGCTTTTTGTAACTTACAGCATGTTGAGGTTTCAGTCACTAGAAGGTTTCTTGTGGTTTAGGAAAGGAAGACACTTTATCTCACTTGACTACAGCTGAGCGTCACTGGAAGCCTAGTGCTCTGTTCACCGAGGCAGGGACCCCCAGACCTCACCTACTCTGAAGTTCAGATGGGTCTACCTGGTCTAGTTTATGGTTCTTCCTAGAGATGCCCATGACCATGAGGCACCCCAAGAAGATGAGATCTTTTAAAGGTTATTTAACGGTCTAGCCATAAGTAGCAGGCTGCCACTTTCGGTGAACCCTGGCTTTCAGAAAGCAGTCAGTCACTTAACTGGGCCCCAGCTCAGACTCCTAATGAAGATGGTTGGCTGTTCTTAGGAAGAGAAGTGGCGCTAAAAGCGATTATCATCTTCAATAATAGCCCAGTGCAACTGACAGTGTTTTCTATCAATAGTAATGACTGGCAAGGCTCACAGAGGATAAGCAACTCATGTGAACTGAGATTGTCTAACCCAGTAGTTTTCAATCTACAGAATCGTCTGGAGAGCTTTATAAAAAGCAACAATAACAAAAATCACCAGTAGTTTTCCCACCCCAAACCCACTGAAACAGAGTCTCTAGTGGTAGGGTTTGCTTTTTTTTTTAACTTTGTAGGTTTCATTGTAACTGTAGGTCATCCATACAAGATGGACAGTGATGGAGCTGAGTATTAGAAGGCCAACAGATGATGTATGTGTTGTTGTTGTAGACTGTCAAGTGTCCTAGGGTTTTAAAGAGGTGAAAGATGAGGGAGGGCTTTGTCAAGGGCAAATGGACAGTGAAAGAAGTGGAAGATTTGGACTGGAGTTGGGAGAAACGCATGAACCAAGGCGCAGGTATTAAGATCAGTTTTGGTAAGTGGCAATAGAGAAGGCTGTGCAAGGTTTCCTCCTGGGCATTAAGCTGGGGGGAGACCAGAAGCTGCCCAATATGTGCAGTTATGAGGTTGTTGCAAGAACTAATGTCATGCGTTATAGACCTGAACGAGGCTGCGGAGATGAGAACGCAAGGGAGGAATGTAGTTGGAGAGAGTGGTGGGGGGCAGATTGGCAGGGCTGTGCACAGCAAACTGATACAGTTTGGAATATGCAAAATAATAACTTTGGGGGAGGCGCAAAAGAATACTTGGAAATAGAAAAGAAGGTTGATCTGATTCAGTGCTGCAGCCAAGGGTTAGTGTCCTATAAGTGCTGGGTAGATAACAAAGCTGACTGGAGATGAGGTTTTGAGAGTTATTATCTTAAGATTTACACATACATAATTGTGGAATACCCGAGAACCTGAGTGTTCTTCACTGGTTGAAAAAACACTGCAGCGATCTAGGAACGTGGTATGAGTTAGGGTCACACAGGAGCTCCTTGCAGACCCTGGGTCCCCTGAAGCTCTAGTTCAGGGTTCACTGAACACATAAGAATGCATAAGTGAAAGGGAGGGTTGTACCCATAGGGTAAGCCTGAGGGCTACTCCCCACAGAGTGGGATCAGGAAGAACCCTTAGAGAGCACCTGCAGAGAATGCCTAAAAGGAAGCTGTCACAGTGCCCTGTGTCACAAGGCCAGGGACTAAGGAGAATTGAGACAGTGCCACTGGGTTGGAGCAGCCAGAGAGAGGTGGTGGCCTAAAGTCAGAGGAGTGGTGAGAAAGTACAGATCTTATGAAACGTCAATTAAAACAACCTAACCACGTCCTTAGGGTTGTTATGAACTCACTCTCTATCTTGCCTACACATGTGATGGCTGTTATATAAAACCATGAACTACATGGGTTTGTCATAGGACTCACCCATGTGGTAAAACATTACACAAAGTGATTATCCCAATTAGTTCCTAAACCTATTGTTTGGGGGGGGGGGAGCAACTTTGAAATATACTCATTATCTTTTAAACACATTAAGAAAAATCTTTACAATCTTTCCCTTTTCCCATACCAGTCACCTGAAGAAACGGATAAGGACAATGTTCACCTCTATGACTCAGGAAGAAAAGTGGACCCAGCTGAAGAGGATACAAATGTGTATACTGAGAAGCACCCAGACAACCTGTTTAAAAGAACGGAAGTCCTGGCAGGTGAGCAGCCTGGTAGGGGTCAGGTGAGAGGGCCCTTAAACGGGCCTCCCTGTTTGTGTGATTCAGTGGTGTGGGCAAAGCTGGCTGAGTGTCACCTTTCTACTGAAAGCAGTTGGGAGTTTGGGGGTCGCATTCCAAAATGAGAGGTAAGAGGCAAATTCTGTCAACTCCCTCAGCCTTGGCCTTGACCAGCCATTGTGGGGATCTGGGGGTGGGGGAAGAGGAAAGTTAAGATTGTTCTAGAACAGCTGGGCATGGGGGATGGCATGATGTGAGACAATCAGTCAGTCTTGCTCCAAGTCATTGCAAAATAGGAGAAGGAAAAGTTCCTCTCGGAGAAGGCAATTGACATAAGCAACACCCAAGGCATTAAGGATGTTTCTCAAATTAACTTATCTGGTGAAAGTATTAGCATTTGTTGTTAAAGGGGAAGATTTGCAAGATTTAAGAACACTTAATCCTGGAAAGGATTGTGCCAAATCCAAGTCTGGGGGTGGAGGAAATTGCTTGCTTTTTTCCTATTTACTCTCACAAAATTTAAATAAATCATATCATGCTTTGTGTTTTCATTGAAAAAGCAGTTAGAAAATGAGACTATGAAATGTGAGAACTGAAAAGACTAAAGAATCTTTAAGTATGGAATCCATCGAGTTCACAGCCAGACTTTTCTTATTGAGGCTTTTGGGTGATGCCATTGATACAAATCAGAGAAAGTATTGTACCTTTCCGAGGAATGTCAGAGTTGCGCAGCTGCCCGGTTGCTTCATTGAATCCAGTTTTTACATTCTGGGGGGTTTTCACATTAAGCCTTTCATGAAAGTGTCATAAAATAGTTTTGATAATAGGCTTGACAAAGCTATTTCTGCAACCATTGAATCTCTTCTAAAAGCAATCTCCCTGTTGGTGTGTTGCAGCCGTCATTGCTGGAGGAGTGATAGGCTTCCTCTTCGCCATTTTCCTCATCCTGCTGCTGGTGTACCGCATGAGGAAGAAGGACGAAGGAAGCTACGACCTTGGAGAGCGCAAACCATCCAGTGCTGCTTACCAGAAGGCACCTACTAAGGAGTTTTATGCGTGAAACTCCCACTTAGTGTCTCTATTTATGAGATCACTGAACTTTTAAAAATAAAGCTTTTGCATAGAATAATGAAGATCTTTGTTTTTTGTTTTTTTCATTGAAGAGCCATTCTGGCACTTTAATGATAAAAATCCCATTGTATTTAAAACTTTTCATGTATTTCTTTAGAACATAAAATTACAACTTAACATCTGCAGTGTTCTGTGAATAGCAGTGGCAAAATATTATGTTATGAAAATTCTCAATATTCATGGAATCAGTTGAAACTTTTATGCGCAAATATGGAATGATTGTTTTTACTCAGTGGTTCAAAGAGGAAAGCTGTTTGATTTGCGTCCGCATGTTTCCCACCGACCCAGCCAGGTTGGTCTTAGTTTGTTAATTTATCTGTCGTTCCCTTCTCCTCTGCTCTCTCCTCGTGTCTCTTGGAAAACAAAACTCTCTGCCTTTTGTAGCTGTTATAGTGCAATTTGTCTTTGGATAATTCAGATAATGGTAATTTAGTGTATATATGATTTTCAAATATGTAAACTTTAACCTACACTTTGTATAAATTTTTAAGTGTCGGACTATCCATTTTACACTTGCTTTGTTTTTCATTACCTGTAGCTTCAGGCAGATTTGCAACAGCAAATTAATGTGTAAAATTGGATTATTACCAGAAAACTGTTTAGTCATATCTAATCAGATCCTCTTTTGGGAGGATATGGTGTGAGTTACTGACAAGCCTCAGCAAACCCAAAGATGCTAACAGTATTTTGACAAGTTGCTGCAGATTCCTTTGGCCACTGTATTTGTTAATTTCTTGCAATTTGAAGGTACGAGTAGGGGTTTAAGGAAAAATCAGTTTTTGTTCTTAAAAATGCATTTAAGTTGTAAACGTCTTTTTAAGCCTTTGAAGTGCCTATGATTCTATGTAACTCATCACAGACTGGTGTTAATGAGTATATATAACAGTTAAAAAAGTTGGTATTTTATAAGCACAGACAATTCTAATGGTAACTTTTTTGTAGACTTACACATAGACATAAATTGTAATTTGGGAACATAAAAACTACTGAATAAATCATGTGGCCTAATAATTGAAAATGTCACTGTTATAAATTTTGTACATTTCGATCAAATGTACATCTCCCCTTTGCCATTGACCATCCGCTCTCCAGGATGACGTGGGTTTGGTTTCTCAGCATTCCACAGCATCTGTACATCACCACCGAAGAGCTCCTCATTAGAGGCTGGTACAGCTTCACTTCCGAATTGGCCAGAGGAATTCTGAATGTATCATCTTGTGTGTATTGGGGTGTAGATGTTAGAAGACTGCCGGGGTGGGAATGGTGATGTTTGCAACCCCTACAGGAGAGCTGATGGCAGTATTGAGACACATGCCTGCTTTTGCAAACAATGTTTAAGGCTATCAATTCCAAAGAACTGAAGGGAGCTTTCCTGACGTCGGTATCTAAGGTTTAGTTTTATAGATTGATTTACCTTTGAAACTATGCTCTAAATCTCTCCTGAAGCTTAACCGAAGCACTAATAAATGGAATACCATCATTCACACCATAGGGAAGGAAAGAGGGGCACGGAGGCTCTCTGTATGAAAAGGAGGGCCTCACTGCTTGGGTTGAAACTGTGAGCAAGCAGTAATGCATGAGGGGGAGATGGAAGGAGGGTCCCCTGCCTGGGCACTGCTTTCTAACTGAACATTGCCTTTTTCTATGTTACCATTAATTTTGCTTTACACTGTGAGCTTCCAAAGTAGGAAGAAGATGGCAAAACCGGCAACCTCTGCGACATGTAATTTACTTTAAATAAATATGAATATTTCATTTAGAGAACATTCCCTGGAATTGCCACAGAACTCATTTCTTTACAAAAATGTAAAGCAACACCTGGAACAGTGTTTACTTAAATTCTTAATGGCCTTAATTCTCAAATTCCTGCCCCATCACTTACAGAACGAATTTGCATTGGAGTGATTAAAAGGAGGTGACAGCACCTTCTAAAGCTGCATGCTCTCCTTCAGTTTCAAGGTAAAGAATCCGGTGAGCATACCTCTAACAGTGCAAAGCATAGTGAAACTCAGTTCGTAGAATAACAACTGCTTGGAAACTCTATGCCAGGAAGAGAAAAATTCTGGCAAATATTTTGTCACTGCTGTAAAGCAAAATATTTGTTAAAGTGCCAAAATAAAGTCTGTCATGCTGAAAGTAAAAAAAAAAAATCATTGTATAGACTGACATCCAGTTTTCTTCAACTGTATGTTTTCTGCCTACTTTTATTATTTTTTTAATTTTAAGATGCAATAAATAGTGCTATAAAAAGTGTTAGTTATGATTACCGAGTTCAGAAAAATTTTGGTCGACTATAAATATTAAAGCCAATGTCAAAATTTCCTGTTTCCTTAACCACATGTAAATGATTTCCTTTGTGTGAATATGGCTTTGTGTTTGAGAGACCTAAAATATTTAAACTGACCCGTTTTCAGTATATGGGGGGAAATGGGATGAGCTCACTTTTTTTGAAAACTTTCAACCACAGCGAATAGTACCTGAACTTCAGGATTAGGACCTGGTTAATACAATTGAATGTAGGTTGGACAAGTATGCAGAAATTGCCATCTATGAATGTTAAAAGTTGATAGTTTCAGATCAACGGTTTAGTGAATGTGTAATGCACATCTTTTTTGCAAAGTGGATGAAATGCACTTGCTTATTGAGGATATAGTTTCTCTGTGTAGAGTTTAGGAAACTAAGCTACATAAGTAGAACATAATCAATGACCTTACTGTGGTTGCCCTAAAGAAATAAAAGGTCCCACAATGATGCCAGTTCCCGCAAGAACAGGTGCAACAACAACGTAACAGTTTTTATGAGCTTATTTCTTCACTATCTTGGACATTTTGAAACCTTAAGGAAAACTTCTGTTGGGGCAAAAATATTAAAACCTGAAAATATTACAGGGCTAAATTTATGAGCAGGATCTTTTTTATAGCTTGATTATAATTATATTGTATAATGGGGTGGTAGAAAAATACATTTTTAATACCTTGGGTTTAAAAAGGCAGTGACTTCAGGCAACAGAAGCTTTAACTGGAGCTAGTAAGCTTTTCCTGACAGCGATGAGACCCCAAGAGGTTTCTGATTAAAAGTAATCATGCCAGATGATAAATGGAGTATTATGAATTGAGTAATCACTAAGGCTTTCCCAGTGCTAATATTTTATTACAATAGTGAAATTTGAGATTTGGCCATTTCTGGGGAATTAGATTTTGCTGGCATAGGACACTTTAAAAAGGGTAGAACAACTGTCTTTTATTTAGTGGTAAAAGCAGTGTTAGCATGAATTTTGTCCCACCCTCCTAACTGGCTGACTTCACACGTAACGATTTACGGTTCTAAGATTTCATCCCTTTTTGTTTATCTGCTGCATATGGTCTGTAGCAGGGTTTTTTCTGACAAAGGAATTGTGGTCGCTTTGGGAGCAATTGGGTTTCCTGAGAATCCGCTAGAAGGGTATAACCCAAGCAATAGTTCTAACACACAAATGACAGAGTGAAGCTTTAGACTTTGGTTCTTCAGCTTTGGGCTTTGGTTGTACTGAGCACAGCCTCATCAATTGCAGTAGCCTTGGCAAAAGGGTTTTTGCCAAGTTCAGTGGTGAACTAGGTAGACAGAGATGCTGCTGTCATGGGGTTTCGAGAGGGGTGCAGAGTGGAAACTAAATCAATGAATAAAACAAGTGGGAATTATCAGTCCGTGGCAATTTCCATGATGGACATAATGCAGGCCAATGTAAGCGACTGGAAGATTGCATCGGCCCAGATAGGCTGCACATGCTGCAGGAACAACCTTAAAGTCTTAGCCACTCAAAACAGCACAGGTTGATTTCTTACAGATGTGACGTGTCTATGGGTTGGCAGTTCTCTGAATAATTGTCATCCTCAGGCCAGTGGAGTAGCCATTATCTGGAACGCTGCTTATCACTGAGGTAGAGGGAAAGTAGCAAGCAGTGAAGCACCTGGTGGCTCTGAAGGTTTCCACCCAACAGTGACACAATGCTTCCACCCACATTTCATTGGCCAAAGCGGCTCATGTGGCCACACCTAACTTCCAGGCTACTGAGAAGTGCCACCCTATTTTGTTCCCATCAGAGGAAGAAGGGATATTTGTGAACAACTATAATCACCATGGCCTGGTCAGGAGAGATTTCTGAGAGGTTAAGGCTGAATGGTGTGGAACCAGTGGTACTAAGTCAGGACAAGCGTTCCAGGCTGTGGGAAGCCCTAAACAGGGAAGGAGCTTTGTGTGTTGAAAGAACAGTAACGAGGCCAGTGGTCCAAGAGGTGGAATAAGAAGGCTGAGGTATGTAATTGCCTTATATTTTTGTGCACTTATACTTTATTCTCCTCAAGGAAGCTAGGCTAATCTCTACAATAGATTTAGATTTACAGTTTGACTTTATGTTACTCCCTTCAATGGCTCCTATAGCACTTAGAATAAACTCCTGACAGTTGTCCTCCAGAACTTCAAGAACTAACCACTGGACAGTGCGTAATAAGGAGACACAGTGGGGCAGCACGGCCACTTAGGAAGCCATGATCGCCACCTTGGGGAGGAAACGATGGCGGCTTGGCCTCAGATGGTAGTAGCAAAGGTGGAGAGGACTGGAGAGGAACTGTTCTGGGAGGTGGAATCAACTGATCTTGTAAAAGGTTAGAAGGAGTGGGGAGTGAGGAAAGAACAGAAGCAAAGATAACATCCCTGTTTTTGGCTGAGCTGGGTGAGTCACGTATTTAAGAAGGGCCATATCGGGGAGCTGGCTGATGAAACAAGAGTTCCCTTTGGGCTGCATTAAGTTAGGACTCCTAGGCACCCAAATGGAGGTGTCAGGTGAACAACTGAATGAATCTAGAGCTCAGAGGAGGTCTGAGCTGGAGATAACTAATTTAGGGGCAGCATCCATTGTTGGTATGCTGACGCACTCCCTTCTCTTTTCCTGCTCTGCTCAATATAGAAGTTCGAGATGGGGGGGAGGGATGACCCATGCAAACCACATTTCCCAAGCTTCTTTGCCAATGGCTTCTGGGAAAGTTTGGCCAATAGAAGGTACTGGCAAAAGACTAAAGGTCAGCAGGAAGAGAGAAGCCAGAGTCCTTTGCCCTCTCCCTGCTTTACATTAGTGAATCTTCTCCAGGGTTTGAATTCCCAAGGACCAGGTCTCCAAGTTCCCAGCTCCCACTGTCCTAACTCTCATAAACCCCACTTTCCCTCTTTATCTCTCACCTTTAGGGAGGGTAGCAGCTTCCGGCTGTCGCTATTCTCTGGGTTATCTTGCCCTTCACAGTTTGCCCTTCCAGCTCTTCCAAGTTAAAGTGTCCACTTCTACCAGGACACTAATAACATACAGTGTGTACTGGGTTGTTTTTAAGTAATTGCGTGGAGGAGGAGGAACTATTTGAATATTCAGAAAATAACTGAATATCTTTGTAACTAATTCCCTGGAGTAAATGCCCTCTACGCATTACCCTCCTGTGTTCCATTTCCCTTCCTGGACCCCAACTGACGACAGCGGAGTGAGCAGCACGTATAAGGTGTTAAAAGCCACGGGACTAGATGAGAGTATCTGGAGAGGTAAGTCGATGGAGGAGGAGGATGGCCCTGGGTTGGCCCTCTAGCACCCTCTGTCTTGTTTAGATGAACTATCGCCAGATTCATTCTTCAGCTCTGGCCATAGGACTGGATTTCCATTTCAGCAGATGCTTAGCAGGGAAATAATCTTTAATCGCAAAGGGGAAAAAATCTCCCTAACGTATCGTAGTGAGCTCATTTTTGAGCAAATTAATAAACAAGTTAAAGTATCCACTTCTACCAGGACACTAATAACATACAGTGTGTACTGGGTTGTTTTTAAGTAATTGCGTGGAGGAGGAGGAACTATTTGAATATTCAGAAAATAACTCTATTATCTGTGTTTAGTGGGAAGATAGCAAACAAAATAGGAGTTCTTCCACTCGTAGCCTTGTCTGGGGCCACTGCAAGCAGGACTCTTGCCTCTTTAGTGATATTCTGCTCAGGTAGATGCCAGACTCA